GCGACAGACAGACAAAAAGAAGGGGTCACTTACCTCTGTGTCTCGAAATCTGTCTTCATAATCCAGTCTGTCCTTCTCTACAGCTGACAGTTTTAACTTCAAGTTGGATATTTCAGCCATCAGATCCAACTTCTGAGTTTCTAAGGATGTCCTACTCAGAAGCTCCTATTAGAATACAAGAAACACATTCAGAAGTTATTTTATTATAAATGTCCACAGGTAAATTTGGGATATTTCTGATTGCAAAGCAGCAAAGATCTGAAGTAAGAGGGTACCTTGAAGAATAATTACTAGACATACGTACTTTTAGATTATTTATTATTCTCTGAAGAGAACACATATCAGTTTATTAAAGCAGATACACACACACACACACCTTTTTTTTTTTTTTTTTTTAAAGACAGGGTTTGCTAAATGGCCCAGGCTGGCCTCCAGAACTCAGCCTCTGCAGTACCTGAGATTACAGGAGTGCACCCCTGCACTCAGTTCTTATCTATTCTTTTTTTTCCTTGGTACAAGGGATTGAACCCATGATAAGCCTGTACTCTACTACTGGGTTACACCCCCAGATCCTTTACATATTCCTAAGCCTGATGATGATGATGATGATGACGATGAGGACGACACGTCTGCTATGTACCAGGTACTGATGTGACATATATTAAGTGATTCCATCGCCTCAAAAGTCTTGTGAGGTAGAAACCCTTATCCTCATTCATCAGAAGAGGAAACTGAAGAACAGAGAGGTTAAGAACTTGTCAAAGTTCCATGGCAAGGAAATAACAGAGCAGGAATTCAAACTAAGCTGTTTTGCAACAGTGATTTTATTTTGTCCACAACCTATAGGGCCTCTCCTATATGAGCACTATGTGTGCATATGTACAAGTTTTTTCCCAATAACATAGGCCATATATAGTGATTATCTTTTCCTTAATCATAAAATATGTCCATGATTGAGTTAGGGAATTGTGTGAATGCAAAAAGAAGAAAATAACCTACAATTCCATTAATATTTTGATTCTAATTAAACACTTTTTGTCTATGTAGTTTGGGACCCTCTTACTCTAGTTTTTTGCTTAAGATGTGCCAGTCAGAGTGAGTCTGGAAATTTGCTGCTCCATCAGAGTAAAGACAGACACATCTCACCACCATCTCTACCCTCATCAGCTTGTACACATACCTGCTGCAGCATTTCTTCTGTGGCATTCAGTTTCTCTCTGTGCTCTTCAAGACAAAACTCCAAATCTCGAATTTTCTCTCCCTGAGCCTCCACCTGGTCTGTTAACACACTGACCTATATTTATAGTAAAATACTGCAATGAGTGAGAAAGAATTTAGGTTCCACTAGGTGTGATGGTACACTCTTACAATCCCAGCAACTTAGGAGGCTAAGGCAGGAAGAGTACAAGTTGAAGGTTAGCCTGGAACCTAGCCAGATCCTGTCTTAAAATTAAAAAAAAAAAAATCGTATGGGATGTAGCTCAATGGTAGAATGCTTGCTTAGTATGTTTGAGGCCCTAGGTTTGTTCCTAGGACCACACCCCTGGCCCCGCAAAAAAGGAAGGAAGAAAAGAAAAAAGAAAAACAGAATTTGGATTCTATTGGCATACTTTATTTCTCTAAGTGAATACAAACTAGAATAATCTCACTACTCATGGTGGTAAAGAAAAACAATCTGAGGGGCTGGGGTTGTGGCTCAGCGGTAGAGCGCTTGCCTAGCTTGTGAGATGACCTGGGTTTGATCCTTAGCACTATATAAAAATAAATAAATAAAGGTATTATGTCCAACTACAACTAAAAAATAAATATTTAAAAA